CCAGGGAGCACCTCTAGAGAACACCCAGTGCTCCAACCAGCCCGGCCATCATCATCTGAACATTCCCCTCTGCACTACATTGTCATCTATTGCTGCAATCCTCCAGGGACCACCTGAAAGCAAGCTCCCAAGTAGTTCTGCCTATTTCTCACAATCTAAGGTCCACAAGCTGCAAGGGGGCAGACATTGCTGTGGTATGGTCTCAACTACCATTCTGTATGCCCTAAATTCCACACACTGCCCCTTTGACTTTTATCACACTGCAAATTAAACCATTCTGGAGCATCTTGGCTCAGAAACCAACCCAAAAATGCTCCTGAACTGGCATTCCCTGTGGAGACACTGTTTAATGGGGATTTGGCACATGTCTAGACCACCTAAGATGGCATCACCTCCCATGTGGAAGACTTTTTTGAAAGACAGGAGAATTGGTCCACGCATGGACATTCTGCATTGGCCTACCAAGAGGTAAGGAGAAGACTTTCTCCATGGACTATTTAGTGGGAACTTTGCTGAGCACAATTGGGTTTTTCTCTGTGTTTGCACTTGAGACTGAGGCCTACCTCCTTTTCCATTCCCCCTTAGGTCATGTGACCCCAAGAAATGGTCCAGAGGCTTTGGCTTTTTCCTTTATCCCTTTCCATTCTAGGTGCAAGGAGTGAATTCCTCAACTTGAATACTGGGTAAGATATGCTATCAGGGAATCCAGGCTGGGTGTTACAGTCAACTCAACAGAGAAACCCTGGGGAGCAGCAAACTGGGAACTCTATCCCAGCAAGGCTTTAAATTTGAACTTACTGGAATTCATGTTACACAGGAACTAAGCTCAACTGTGAACTTAGTTTCCCTCTCCAGCAACAGAAGTGGTGTATGCCTAGGGATTATGACTCCAAAGTATTGAGTGGAATGTTTGTATGTGTATTTTTGCTATATCTTTGAAGTAAATATCCCTGTGTAATAGCTAATTGGGCTATGAAATGGTTAAATGGAACATGGATGCTAATCCCTGGATCCCTAAAAATTGGGAGAAACCAGAGAAGATGGCACAGAAGAGAGACTCCTCAGGGTACTGGAGAAGGGGGACGTGAAATGTAACAGATTTGGCCCCCAGAGTAGGGCCAGGGTAATCATGTTACCAGATTGTGTTACAACAACAGTGTATTCAATCAGACATTCCCAACACGAAACATGAAGAGATCTGAAGAGATACGGGAGCATTAACAGGGCATTAGGGAAAGGCTTACAGAAGTAGTGGTACGTAAGTTGGGCTTCGAGAGAAGATAAGGATTCTGAGAGGAAGAGCTGAAGAGGGAGTGCATTCCAGGCATGGGTGATGGCCTGTGCAGTCCCAGAGAGTGGAAGACAGAATTTAGTTTGGGAAACTGGGTGACTAGTTCATTTTGACTAGAATGCAGGATTCTTGTTGTTCAGTCATTTCATTGCTGTCTGACTCTTCATGATGCCATTAGGGTTATTCTTGTCAAAGATCCTGGAGTGGTTTGCCATTTCTTTCTCCAACTCATTTTACAAATAAGGAAACTGAGACACAGGGTTAAGTGACTTACTCAAGGTCACACAGCTAGTAAGTGGCTGAAGCCTGATTTGAAATCAGGTTCCCCCCAATCCAGGCCTGGGTGTCTGTCCACTGCACGATCAAGCTCCCCCAGAATGCAGGGTATGTTAATTTAATTTAGGGATTATGAGAAAAACATTAGATTATCTCAAACTGGCCCAGGAAGCAGAAAGACCTGGGTTCAAGTCCTGCCTCTGACACAGACTGACTATGTGACCCTGGACAAGTCACTCACTGACCATGGGAATTCTTTAATATTAAAAATTATAGAGATGAATCAATATACTTAACATAGGTTAAGTCAGAGTGTGAGAAATTTCAGAAAGAATATCTTCCAGTCATTTTGAATGTGTGTGATAGAATCTGGGCACTGCCTAGTTGAAAGACAAAATCACTATGCCCCTGAGGCAGTGACAGGATCTAAATCAAAAGTAGGAATCTTAAGCCCAAGGCATGTTCAGTTGGGGGTGGGGGGAACAGAGATTAAAAGATAATCTATCTCAGATGGAGTTGTGCCCTATGCTATGAAGCAATAGATGATGGTACCCAGACCACTAATCCCTGGGGTGATGTGGCAATGGGGTGGGGATGTGGGAAACTTGTAGGGGTGCTCTAGGAGTATAAGCCCAGGGAGAAGGGTCCTAGAACAGAGGGACGCTTGGGAGCATTCGTGAAAGCCTAGACCCAGATGAGGGAGGGGGGCTAAACTGGAGGACTGCCACAGGGACTAATCATGCCTCTAGAAGTCCATTCCCTAGACAAAAACCCCCACCACTCTATACTAGTTACAGCTCTGTCTGGGCTCTTTTGCCAGGCTACAACTGGACATACATTCACAGGCATTCATTGCCTTGATGCTGCTGTAGATAAGGCAGTAGATGTTGAGACTCCTTGGCATTTGAGTTGACTCTCTATAGAGGTGAGAATGAGGGAATGTGTGAAAACTTCAGAGTTCTGCTAACTCTGTGCTTATTTTTAAGTCTAGAGTAGGGACAGGGAGTCTATAATTAAGAGCATTAGCTATGAGTAAATACTAGGGCAAGTGAAGGCTTTGACACCCTAGCCTATATGTAGAGCCCTGACTGTCTGAGAGGTTCTAGATCCAAAGGCGGTCTTGTTTTGGGGAGACTGGAATAAGAGATATAGGTCTGATTTCACTTCTTGCTAGTAAAATTCTTTCTTTTTCAAAGGCAAAGTCTTCCCAGCTCCCAATATACAATAGTGATGGCTTCCTCACAAGAATCACTGGACTGGGTTCTCTAAAGTGAACTGGGTCAAAGTAGGGAGCTCATTCCCAGGGTGATGGAGTCAGCTTTCACTCTGCCTTCTCCATGGGACTCATTCAGTCACTTCCCAGATCTGGTCAATTCTACACCCTAGCCTGTCCACTTCACCTTTCCCATCCAAACCCTCTTTTCCATTCCTATAGCCCTCATCACCTTTCACCTATTGCCATAGCCTCCTGACTGCTCCCCCTGTGTCTCATCCCTCCCTTTTCCGCTCCATCCTAGACACAGCTTCCTAATGAAATTATCTTCCTAATGAAAAGATATGATCTTGTCACCGTCCTGCTTAAAACAAACAAAAAACCTTCAGGGATACGCTGTTGTCCATAGGATAAATTACAAACTCCTGGGGAAGGCCTGCTATTTAAGACCCTCTTGGCCCCTTCCTACCTACAAAACTTTACGAACTACACCCCTCAATGCTCTAAATACTTTGTTGGCAGACTAGATTCTTAGCTATTCCATAATCTTATCTTGAGATAAGATAAAGAGGAAGAAAACTTCCTCCAAGGCCCAGCTCAGAACCCACTTCTTCCAGGAAGCCTTCACAGGTATATTGCCTCCCCCCCAGGTCTAACCAGAAAGTGATCTCTCAATCTCTCAGTTGTCCTAGACCACTTTGTCAAGATAATGTCTGTTCCCAACATATAGCCACATGGTACATTGTATGCTTACATGTCTGCTGCCACTCCACCCTCCTAGATTATAAAATCATTATGGGGAGAGACTGTGGGTGGTTGTTTTCATCTTTTTATGTGCAGTCTAAGAGTACATGATGAGTACTTAAATGTTCAGCTGAATGGAGGAGGAAGTCTCAGAAAACTTGGAGGCAGAGAGAGTAAAACTGGAGTTTATTAATCTGAGGACACCAAAGCAGAGTGCAGGGCCTTAAAAAGAAACTGAGGTTCAGTCTCACATAGGAGTCTAACCTATGATTGGGCCATTATAAGGATTTCTCCTTAATCCATTTATAATGTCGTTACCCCATTTCTTCAATCCTCTCCAAATCCATGGGAAAAACCCACGTCTCTTGATATTTTCAGGCTACAGAGGGAAGACAAACAGACATTCTTAGTCCAGGGCCTCTTGGGGTAAGGCTGAGGAGGGAAGAAAAACCTGCCCACCAGGGAATGGAGTAACTTAGAGCTTCATGAGACTCGGAACTCAGTGTCTGGTACAACCTCCCCATTTCAAAGGAGGAAACTTAAGACAGATGGTGGTGCAGCTGGCAGAGCCAGGACTCAAGCCCAAATCTTCAGCCTTGCACCTCTAAACCCAGTGCTCCAACCAGCACAGAAAGCTATAGGCTCAGGGGCTTCTTCATGTTCATTTTGAACATGATGAAAAGTTTTCCCAGGACACGCCCCCCCCGTTTCTGTGCCCCGGACATGGAGAGGACAATGAGAAATCATTACCCCACACCTTAGAAACTTCTACCCTCCAGGTACACCCTGGGACCAGGTCACATTGACTATGCCCCTGGCATGACCATACCTGAACTCACAGCCCTCTCTTCAGAGTGGTTTGGCAGGAACACTGGCTGTGCCTCCAGCCCACCCCACCCTAGTTTCCCTACCCTATCTCATCAATGAGCTCTTGGAGTGAGCAAGATAGTTGGACTGAGTCAGAAGACCTGTTTCAGCTCAGACATTAGTCCCTCTATGACTTTGGGCAATGTCACTTCACATCTCTGAGCTTCAGTTTCCTTCTCTGTAAATTGGGAGAGGAGGAGTTAGACTAGCTAATTTCTAGGATTTCCTCCATTTCAAACCCTGGGATTGGTTCTCTGGAAACACAGGTCTAGGCCCTTCCTCTCCCATTAGCCTTCTCTAATTCCCTCTTGCCCTAGGACTCTGAGGCCAGAGACCTCTGGAGCTCCAGAGCTGGGGTTGGGTGAGGTAGATGAGGGAGAGGATTACTCCTGCCTCTGTATCTATATCTCCTCCTGGAACCTGAAAGAAGAAAAGGGAGGCTGGGCTGATGCTAAGGTTGGAGAGGGCAGCATGGTCAAAGTTGGTCCCAAGCCCCTCCAGCTGCACATCAATCCCAGCAGCCCCCAAGACAGAAGGCACCATAGACCCCTAGTGGAGTCTGCAGGTTTGGGCTCTTCTCCCAGCCCCCTCTGAGGATTCAGCACTTACCCCATCACAGGAAATATCAGCAGAGGGCTTAGGAGAATCCAAAGCAATGGCTCCAATGCATTCTTTCACCAGCTGTGAAGGGTTGCAGAGAGAGTTCAGGACTGCCAGTCTGCAACCTCTGCCCCTGACATGCCAGGACTGACAACAAGCTCAAGCTTTGCCCCAAGCCAGCCCACTGGGAGGGTTTTCTGCTGCTCATCTTGGGTGAATCACTTTGCTCAGGGCAGCAGGAAGCAGAGCTCAGCACCCTCCCTGCTCCAAGGTCCTCAGAAAGAGACTCATTCAGTCAGTCTCCCTCCCTAGCCCATGACACTCTCACCCCGTTTTCCTTGAAGTCACATTCATCTGGATTGGGATTTTCAGTATTGGGGCACACGGTCTCTCTCATGGTGAAGCTCAGAAGTCGAGGAGCAGCAGGATCCTTGTTCTGGGGAGGAAGGCAGGACAGCCTTTTAGACCTAGGCCTCACCTGAGGGCCTGTGGGGCCAGGAGCAAGCTATTTAGTGCTGGAAGGGACCTTAGAAACCATCTAGTCTGACCCCATCGATTTCTAGATGAGGAAACTAAGAACTAGGAAAGTTAGGTGATTTGCCCAAGGTCACATTGGTACCAGTATCAGAACTGGAGGCATCCAGAACAGTCATTCATCCAACCAGTGTCTACTGAATGACTTCTGGGGTCACCGTGTGCTCAGCTTCCATATTCTCTGTCCTCAGGGGACACCTCAGGCTGGTTGGGAGACAAAAATTCTCAAAATGAAAAAAACCAATACAAGTTTAAACTTGTTCAGAGCCACATGAGAGCTCCAGTAATGAAAAGAATCCTGGATTTGAAGTCTGAAGACCTGGATTTTATTTATATTATAGTACTTAGGATTGTTCCTGGGACATGGTAAGAGATTCAATCAATCAGCATTTATTAAGCACCCACTATGTGCCAGGCACTGTGCTAAGCCCTGGGGGTCCAAAAAGAGGCACAAAGAGACAGCTAGGTGGCACAGTGGATAGAGCACCGGCCCTGAAGTCAGGAGTACCTGAGTTCAAATCCAGCCTCAGACCAAACACTTGACACTTACTAGCTGTGTGACCCTGGGCAAGTCACTTAACCCCAATTGCCTAAAAAAAAAAAAAAAGGCAACAAGACAGTTCATGCCCTCTAGGAGTTTACAATCTAATGGGAGGGAAACATCATGCAAATGAACATATACAAAGCAAGCTGTGTGCAGGATAAATAGGAAATCATTAAAAGAAGAAAAGCCCTGGATTCAGAAATACTTTTTCATTCATTCCTTTATCCATTCCCTCATTCCTAGTTCTGTTACTTGCTGCTATTCCCCCTTCCTTTCTCTGGATCACGATTTCCTACTTTGAAAATAAAGGGGGTTAAACTCAGTGATGTCTAAGGTCCCTTCCAGCCTGACAGCCTATGATGCTACGCAGGGCTGTAGGTGACATGGAGAGAGAGAGAGAGAAATCCCTCTGGCCTGGTGTCACTCATGGAGAGCTTGAGCTCTCCTCTGAGGTGGGAGCAGGATTGGAAAGTGAAGGGGAAGGGGAAGGGAATTCAAGGCAGGGGAGTCCTCACAAGGATACTCTGAGAGGCATCAGACATGGATTATCATCCCCATTTCACAGATGAAAAAACTGAAACTCAGAGAGGAAAGATACCTTGCTCAGTCAGAAAAATGAGTCAGAACTGGAATGAGAGCTCAGGTCTTCTGGTTCCAATGATAATAATAATAGTGAACATTTATACAGTGCTAATATACGTCAGGCACTGTCCTATGTGTTTTACAATTATTATCTCATTTGATCTTCGTAACAACTCTAGGAGATAGGTGCTATTATTATCCTTACATCACAGTAAAGAAAACTGAGGCAAACAAATGTTACATGAGTGCCAGTCACCCAGTTAATAAATGTCTGAGAGTGCATTTGAACCCAGGTCTCCCTGACTTTCAGGGCCAGTGCTCCATCCACTGTGCCACCTAGCTGACCCTCACTTTCCACTATATCACAAATTCTCCCAGTGAGGAGACCAAGGTTTTCAGGAGGGAAAGGTTCATATTAGGGAATCTTGGCAGGGAAAGCCCTCCCCCACCATCTCAATGCTACTCACTTCCCCAGACTGCAGATTCAGGACTGAGAGACGAAAGAGGTTTTCTGATCCTGACTTCGTGTTGTATTCCTGAATGAATTCATTCACTAAATCCTGGTATCTCTGGTCCTGGGCATAGGCAAGTGAATTCTTCAGGCTGAGCAGCCCCAGCACCAACAGGGGTACCTGCATAGTCCAGCCCCTCTGCAGCCTCATCCTCTTGGCCCTCAATGCTGTGGGCAGAAAAGGGTGTCCTTTATTCACTGGCTCCTCCCCAGCCTTAAACAGGGGCAAAGGATCCCTCCAGCCATTGGGTTCCAACAGTTCCCTGAAGTCTGTGGTTTCCCCCATTCTTTTGTCATTGGTTACCTCTTGTCCCCAGGGCTGGGAGTCCCCTCCTTCAATTTCCTCATGAAGCCCTGGAGTTGACAAACAGGAAGTATTGGAGAAAGAGGGGAAGTATGAGGAAAAGATGGAGGAGGAGGGCAGGAAGATTAGGCAGGTCAAGAGATGTGAAGAAATAAATATTTTCCCTGTCTCTCTCTGTCTTACAAAGTCCTAGAGGGCCTGCAGGTGTCCAGTCAGCTGGCACATTGGGTTGTCTTTCCAATTACTCAAGGAATTTTGCAATAGAGTTAGGGTTGCTTAAACTGACCTCTCTACTCTCCTCTGGTTCTTCCCAAAATGCTCAGGCCTCTATTCTCAAAAAGCAGAGGGTCCAAGTGTCAACCAGAGATTTCTCCTTCCATGTAAGATTCCTAATTGCCCCTAATAAAGTCTTCACACATAGCCTCCTGCCTCCATCCCATTCAAATCCACAAACCTACATGCTCACAGATCAGCCCTATAGGCTCTCCATCTAACAGAATACTTCAAGCCAGACAACAGGCTTTTTTTAGCCTGAAGAGATGACTCTAACCAGGGCCGGGAAAGAGGGTAAGGATTCTGAAAGGAAGAACTAGAGAGAGAGCATTGCTGGTTTGAGGGATTTCTGTACTGTGCAGATCCAAGAAGTAATTCAGGCTGAAGAATAGGCCTAGCAGGGCATAGACAGACAGTCAGCAAGTCAGTGGTGGGGAGGAATCAACAAAGGCCTGAGGTAGGAGGTGGTACCTTACAGGGAGCAAGGTAGGGATTCTAAAAGGTGGATATGAGGAAAGAGAACATTCCAATATGGTGGACCTCCTCTGCAAGGGCACAGTGGTGGGAGATGATCAGTCAAATACAGAAAACAGCAAGTAATCCAGTTTAGCAGAAACACAGACTATGTGAAGGGCAGTTAAATCAGTGCAGAAAGAAGGTGGGAGCCAAAAAGACTTTAAATGTCCAACAGAAGTGTTTGGATTTCATCCTAAAGGTAATGGGAAGGTAAGGCAGTGACATGGTCAGACTTATGCTTTAGGAATATCAGTGTGGCAGCTATAGGGAGTATATAGATTGATGAAGGGAGACACTGAAGAGAGGAATCCCAATTAGAAGGCTGATGTTAATAATCCAGTTGAAGACAGGCAAAGATGTCAAAAGGTGGAGATTGGGGAGCAGCTCCCCTGCAACTATGGGAAACGGCCTATACAAATGCATGGAGGCAGGACAGAGCAGCATGGGATGAGCGAACAGTGAGTAGTCCACTTTCTCTGAAATCTAAAATACATCACTTCTCAAAGACTCCCCTCCATATATCCACTCTCCTTTGTAACAAAAAAACACAGTAAAGAAAAACAAATCAAGAATTTAGCTGTGTCTATATATGTATGTCTCATTCTGCCCTATTAGTCCAATAACCCTCAGCCAAGTGAGGAAGAGAATAAGCATTTATTAAGTACCTACTATGTGGGAAGAAGACAGGTAAATAAGGCTTTGACCTGATGGAGGTCAAAGGCCTAGAGATAAAGATTTCTTCTATTCAAAAATATTTATAGCAACATTTTTAGTAGCAGTAAATAACCAGAAGTTCTGTAGATGTCTATTGATTGGAAGAATCAATAGTTAGTAATTGAATAAACATATGATTGTACTAGAATATTATTGTTCTGCTATAAATGACAAATATGTATGGGAAATGTTAGCTTTAGCAATAAGAGAAGAAAAAGAAATTGAAGGTATTAGAATAGGCAAAGAAGAAACAAAGCTATCACTCTTTGAAGATGATATGATGACATACTTAGAGAATCCTGGAGAATCAAGTAAAAAACTACTTGAAATAATAAACAACTTTAGCAAAGTTGCAGACTATAAAATAAACCCGCATAAATCATCAGCATTTCTATATATTACCCACAAAGCCCAACAGCAAGAGATAGAAAGAGAAATTCCATTTAAAGTTACTGTAGACATTATTACATTTTTGGAAGTCTACCTGCCAAAACAGACCCAGGAACTATATGAACACAATTGCAAAATGCTTTTCATACAAATAAAGTCAGATCTAAATAATTGGAAAAACATCAGTTGCTCATGGGTAGGCCCAGCTAATTTAATAAAAATCACAGTTCTACCTAAGCTAATTTACTTAGTGCCATTCCAATCAAACTACCAAAAAATTATTTTATAGAATTAGAAAAAATAATAACAAGATTCATTTGGAATAACGAAAAGTCCAGAATATCAAGGGAACTAATGAAAAGAAATGCAGGGGAAGGTGGCGTAGCATTTCAGATATTAAATTGTATTATAAACCAGCAATCATCAAAACTGGTTGGTACTGGCTAAGAAATAGAGTGGTGGATCAGTGGAATAGGTTAAGTATGCAAGACACAGTAGTCAATGACTATAGTAATATATTATTTGATAAATCCAAAGACCCCAGCTTCTGGAATAAGAACTCACTCTTTGACAAAAACTGTTGGGAAAACTGGAAAAGAATATGGCAGAAACTAGGCATAGACCTAAATCTCATACCATGTACCCAAATATAGTCAAAATGGTACATGATTTAGATATAAAGGCTGAGACTGTAAGAAAAAGGGGAGAGCAAGGAATGGTTTACCTATCAGATTTATGGAGAACAGAAGAATTCATGACCAAACAGGAGATATAGAACATTATGAAATGCAAAATGGATAACTTTGATTACATTAAATTGAAAAGTTTTTGTACAAACAAAGCCAATGCAACCAGGATTAGAAGGAAATTTGAAAATTGGGAATTTTCACAACCAGTGTCTCTGATATGGGCCTCATTTCTAAAACATATAGAGAATTAAGTCAAATTTATAAGAATATAAGTCATTCTCCAATTGATAAATGGTCAAGGGATATGAACAGGCAGTTCTCCCATGAAGAAATTAAAGCCATCTATAGTCATATAAAAAAATGCTCTAAATCACTATTGATTAGAGAAATGCAAATCAAAACAACTCTGAGGTACCACATCACATCCGTCAGATTGGCCAACATGACAAAAGAGATAAATGATAAATGCTGGAGAAGATGTGGGAAAATTGGAACGCTAATGCCTTGTTGGCGGAATTGTGAAAGGATCCAACCATTTTGGAGAGCAATTTGGAACTCTGCCCAAAGGGCTATAAAAATATGCATGCCTTTTGACCCAGCAATAACACTTCTAGGGCAGTATCCCAAAGAGATCACACAAATGGGAAAAGGACCAATATGTACAAAAATATTTATAGCAGCTCTTTTTGTGGTGGCAAAGAATTGGAAATGGAGATGATGCCCAACAACTGGGGAATGGCTGAACAAATGGTGGTATATGAATGGAATGGAATACTATTGTGCTATAAGAAATGATGAGCAGGCTGACTTTAGAAAAACCTGGAAAGACTTGTATGGATTGATGCTACGTGAGGTGAGCAGAACCAAGAGAATGTTGTACACAGTAACAGCCACATTATGCAATGGCTAAAATTGATAGGCTTAACCCTTCTCAGCAAGGGATCTAAGACATCTCCAAAGGCCTCATGATGGAAAATGCTATCCACATCCAAAGAAAGAACTATGGAGTTTGAATGCAGATTGAAGAATACTATTTGCTATTTTTTTCTTCTGTTTTGTTTTGTTTCCTCTTTCTTGTGGTTTCTCCTGTTGGTTCTAATTCTTCCTTATAACATGACTAATGTGATAATATGTTTAGTAGGAACGTATGTGTAAAGCATATATCAGATTGTGTGCCATGTCTTGGGGAGGGAGGTGGGGAGGGAGGGGGAGAAAAATTTAAAACTCAAAAGTGTATGGAAGTGATTGTTGATAAATCAAAATAAATTAATAAAAAATGAAAAAAAAGAGAAATGACAAATATGGAAATTCAGAGAAACTTTGGAGCACTGGTACAAACTCATACCGAGAGAAGTAACCCAAAGCAGCAGAATACAGAGTGCATGTTTTGAGACAAACAGTAAGTGCTATTAAGCTGGTCCAGGAGACAGGAAGACCTGGGTTCAAGTTCTACCTCTGACACATAATGGCTATGTGACCCTGGACAAGTCACTCAGTATCCTTGGGAATTCTTTAAAAATAAAAATTACAGAAATCAATCAATCAACATTTATTAAGTGCCTACTATATGCCAGGCACTGTGCTAAGCACTGGGGACACAAAAAGAGGCAGAAGAGGGGGCAGAGCCAAGATGGTGGAGTAAAAACAGTGACTTGCTTGAACTCTACCCCAAACCCCTCCAAAAAGAGGCAAAAGACAGTCCCTGACTCAAGGAGCTTACAGTCTAATGGAGGAGACAATATGCAAACCAATATACACCACGTAAGCTATATACAGGATATCAAAGGAAGGCACTGGAATAAAGAAAATTGGGGGAAGGTTTTCTTTAAAAGAGGATATTTTAGCCGGGACATAAAGGGTGTCAGGGAGGTCAGTAGTCAGAGAGGGAGAGGAGGCCATTGTCACTGGATAGAAGAGTGTGTGTCCTGGGGTAAAGTCTAAGAAGCCTGGAAAGGTATGAGTGGGCTTAGATGATGAAAGGCTTGGAATGCCAAACACAGCAAATTCTGAAGGTAATAGGGAGTCACTGGAGTTTATTGAGAAAGTGCTGACCTACACTGGTAGAGGAAGTTCTCCTGGATAAACTAAATCACAAGACCAGAAAAAAAAATTCTGTCAAAACACAAGCTAATATTATTAATCAAGAGAGAATCCAGTGTCTTCCCCAAAGAGGCCTTTAACTGGTGAGGTTTTATTTTAATTATACCTTTTTTAAATTTTACATTTCTTTTTTTTTTTGGTGAGGCAATTGGGTTTGCCCAGAGTCACACAGCTAG